AAAACAATTTGTACTTAGATGTTCATACCAGCACAATAAAGATGTTCATTCTCCCTTCTTCCCTGCATTTTGACATTCCATAAACCAAGGCATTTAATCTTGCAGAAACACACACGAAGAATTTCTCCTACTGCATTTTTTAGAAATTGCTATGCTCCAATACAAATAACGAGAAAAATAGGACTGACTTTTTCTTTTTAAAGGGAAAACACAAATGGGACTCTCTAAAAATAAACCTATTAATCCTTTTTTTTTTTTTTGCAGGATCTCCAGTAACCCTCAGCCATGTGACACTGGTGTGAAATTTTTTTGTTTGAAACTTTCAATTTCTAAAAGGTAACTTTTTCATTATGCAGATTTTCTGAAAAGCAAATTTAAATCACTTATATTTCCTGAATTTTTAACAATATGCATGTGCAAAGAAGTTTTTTTACAAAAAAACTGAGCTCTTCCTTCTACATAACAGATTGAGAGAAAAAGGGGCAATCATATAGCCTTATTCTACAGAGAATATATCTGCAAGTGCAAAAGGATTACAAAAAAATCTTTTCATTCTAGATGCATAAGAAAAGCCATCAGGGTCTCTGACAGCCAAACATTTCCTTTAGCAGCCTCAGGAACTGCAAGAATACCCTTTTAAAGAGTTGCCCTTCTCCAACGTGGGCAAGTTTTATCATTGCTTTCAACAGAACAGCAACCCAAGTTTAGGCAGATAAACAGCTTACATCCCTAAGCTTCCTAACATAAGTAAACTCTTCCACATTCAGCTCAAAGCACCAAAATCAGGCTTATGCACCAACTCGCCTTCAAAAGGCATCAGTCCCTCAGTACTGACCTCTTCTGTAACTAGCCACCTTTTATCTGAGACAGCTAGTTTAACTGTCTGAAGTCAGGCAGGCTATTACCTCCACCCCCTCAATGAAAGTAAGTCACAAACAAAAGAAAAAAAACCAAAAAAGACAAAACCCAAAACACTAACAATAACATAAGAATAAAAGCATTCAGCAGATGGTCAGAGTAACATTTTACAAGATCTAATGCCTAGAAGTAAGCTTAGAGACCAGCGCTGTAGTCTTTTAGCACACACACAAAAAAAAAAAACAAACAAACAACCACAAAACTAAAAACCCAAAGAAAAGGAAAGTAGACTAGTTCCAAACCTTTGTTCCTAAACCCACACAGTGAATTCTGAGCTCAGAATAAAAGGGCTTGGAGCTTAACTTTTGTTTCACAGGAAGAAGATATCCTTAGATGAAGAGTTAATAATGTTTGAGAAGGTCACAGAGGCACTGACCACTGATACAAGAAGCTGATTCTTAAAGCACTTCTGCCTTTGCTCTGTTTCCCTCAGCTTCCAGGACGTAAAGCAAGATCACCAGAAGGAATCAGGAAACGTTACACAAACTTCACAGCACATACGAACACATCCAGTCAGACTTTGGAGGCCCACAGAAGACATCCAGAGCTGCTATTCTGAACAGGATGCAAACTCAGTGGAGATGATCTGTCTGCTCTAAATAACCGCTCTCCCGACAGACCTTCTTTCCCTAAAATAAGAGTAAATTTTGCAGTATACTGGCAAACCAAACATAGCCTCTACAAAACCCTTCTCGCCAACACCTTAAAGAAAACGTAAAACATGGCACTTGACTGATAACGTATCAGATCTATGAAATAGGGATAAGGCACATAATGCACTTGTAGCACTGTTCTCTGTGAGAATAACCTATCCTGCTGCTCAGCTACCTCAGAACAGCAGGCCCTGTGCATAGGCTTTTTTATATCAACTTGAAAATACAGCACTGTTTGAGGCCCAATATCCCCATGAGATATCATTTATTAGACCTGTGTAACAAGACTTGCTGTCTTTGCAGCTTCCACCTCATCTGCTGAATGGCAACAGAAACAGGAGAGGGCAAAAAAAAGGCTGATATGCAAACAAAACCTGAAAAAACTGTTGAGGCAGTTAAGTGTTGCCCAGTATCTCAACCACCAGCTTCCTTTCATGCTCAGCAAAGTCAAGCCACAGCTGTTCTTTTCACAGGAAGTTACCAGCTTACACATTCCTCATGGTCTAAGCTGATACCTCGAGATCTGACCAACACAGGTTTCAAGCTGTTATGGCTGCTAATACAGCTACTTGGAGCTGTGCTTAGAGTATAATATGTGATATAGTAATTACAGGATTCTGTGCCTCTGATATGAACATTTTGAAGATAATGTTTTGGTTTGGGAGGTTCATTTTTTTGTTTGTAAATTAAATCCTACAGCAGACAAGATAACAGAAAATATATCAGGAATTGTTCCTAACTTCAAAAGCAGAGTCTGAAAATAACAGATTAAAAAAAAATTGGCCTACTTAAATAAGCAACATCCTCAGAGAAAAACTGATGCAGCATAACCTAGATAAGTGAAGAACAAGGTGGATCAAGAACTGGCTTAACTGCCATGCTCAGAGGATTGTGATCAGCAGCACAAAGTCCAGCTGGAAAACAGTGGCTACTGGAGTAACCCGGTCATTGATACCTTGCGCCAATACTGTTCAACATCTTCATTAATGGCCAGCATCGTGGGACAGAGCACGCCCTCGGCAAGTTTGCAAGCGATAGAAAACTGGAAGGAGTGGTTAATGCACCACAGGGTTGCGCTGCCAGTGAGAGGGACCTTGAGAGGCTGTAGAAACGGCCCGACTCGGTGGACACGCGAAGTTAACGCAGGGATGTGCAAAGCCCCACAGCCTGGGAGGAATAACCCCCTGCACCAGCACAGGCTGAGGACCAACTGGCTGGACAGCAGCCCAACAGAGAAGGACTTGAGGGTCCCGCTGGATGACAGGTTGCCCATAAGCCATCAGTGTGCCTTTGTAGCAAAGCAGGCCAGCAGCCCCCTGGACAGGATTAGGAAAAGCACTGCCAGGAGGTTGAGGGGAGTGATTCTTTCCCTCTGCTCACCACTGGTGAGACACATCTGGAGTATCGTGTCCAGTTCTGGGCGTGGCAGTCCAAGACTGCTGGACTTGCTCCAGTATGCCCAGGTCTAAGGGCCCCAAAAATGATTAAGGGAACAGAGCATCACTCACACAAGGAGAGGCTGAGAGCAGTGAATTGTTCGGCATGGAGAAAAGAAAGCAGGGGGAAGAAGAATTTTATCAGTGTGTACAAATACTTGATGACAGGGTGTAAAGATGTAGCCAGACTCAGAAGCACTGAGGTTGGAAGGGACTTCTTGGTATCGTTTAGTCCAAACCCCCTGCTCAAGCACAGTCACCCAGAGCAGGCTGCCCAGGACTGTGTCCAGTCAGGTATTACAACCTCTGTAGGCAACCTGTGCCAGTACTCAACAACCCTCAGAGTAAAAAAGTTGTGTCTTTTTTTCTTGCATTCAGACAGAATTTCATGCGTTTTGTGTCCGCTGTCTCCTGCCTCAGACCACTGCTGAGAAGAGGCCATCTCCACCTTCTTCATTCCCTTCCATCAGGTGTTTATACACATTGATGAGATGCCCCTTGAGCCTCCTCTTCTTTAGGCTGACCAGTCCCAGCTGTCTCAGCCTTTCCTCATAGGAAAGATCACAGAATAGAATCATAGAATGGGTTGGGTTGAAAGGGACCTTTAAAAGGTCATCTAGTCCAACTCCCCTGCAATGAGCAGGGACACCTTCAACTACATCATGTTGCCCAGAGCCCCGTCCAACCTGACCTTGAATGTTTCCAGGGATGGGGCATCTACCACCTCTCCGCACAACCTGTTCCAGTGTTTCACCACCCTCATTGTAAAAAATCTCTTCCTTATATCTAGTCTAAATCTACCCTCCTTCAGTTTAAAACTATTACCCCTTGTCCTATTGCAACAGGCCCTACTAGATGCTCCAGTCCTTTCACCATCTTTGGCCATGTGAAGGACTGACTCCAGTAAATCCATATCTTTCTTGTACTGGGGACCTCAGAACTGGACACAGTACTCCAGATGCAGCCTCAGCAGTGTTAAGTGAAGGAGAAGGATGACCTCCCTTGACCTGCTGGCAACGCTCTTCCTAGTGCGGCCCAGGATACTGTTGGCCTTTTTTTGCTGTGAATGTGTGCTGCTGGCTCACAGTCAGCTGCCTGTCTGCCAGAGCCCTGACGTCTTTCTCAGCAAAGCTGCTTTCCAGCTGGTCAGCCCCCAGTATGTACCCGTGCTTGGGGTTATTCTTCCCCAGATGCAGGACGATACTCAGAGGTATCCGGTGATGGACAAGAGGTAAAGTGTACACACTGAAATAAAAGAAATCCCTTCTAAACATAAGGCAACACTTTTTTACTGCAAGAGTGGTCAAATACTGATACTGGTTGTCCAGAGAGATTGTGGAGCCTCCACCTTTGGAGAAACACAGAACCTGATAGTCCTGGGCAACCTACTGTAGTTGAACCTACTTTGAACAGCAGCATGCTGTTCAAAGCCTCGCAACCTCAACCATTGTACATCCAGTGAATCTTAGAATTGTATAAGCGTGAGAACATGATCGTAATTACATTCCATTACAGTAAATGAAGTTGAAGAAATTAGCCAAAATTAAGACTGTTGCACATAATTTTTTAGTATTTGACAAAATTCCTGAATTATAACTCCTTAGTTATTCAGTTTTGTGCATTTAATGTCAGATATAAAATGTGATACAGACTAATTTTTTCTTCTCTACAATATATAAAATTATGACCTTCTTCAGCAACTGCAGAGAAGATGTAGTTATCACCAATATTATTCCTTGAAGCTCTAGTCTTTACCACTACTGTATAAACAACATTGTGGTGACAGTTATATTTTTAATCTCCAGCATATAACACAGTTGACAAAAAAATTAACATTTACAGTTAAGTTTTAGTTTGCAATCCTCATACCAACTAATCTGGGAAAATGACATTTAAGTTAAATGAAAAACATAGTATTAAAACTCAGTATCCAATCCAAATATGAAGATTTTAAAGCACTAGAATGAAATACCGCTACATAGTTTGAACCTACCTTTCTGTAATAATTTGACCTCTCCATTTTCTTTCTTGATTTCATTCATTATTTTGTGCTTCTTCTTCTCTTTTTGCTTCTTTTCCCTTTCTTTAATTTTGTCTTTGATTTGAGCTGAAATGCAAATATTTTAAAATTTAGTAGGAACAGAAAACTAATTGTCGCATGCACGTTTCATATTACTCTTACATGAGCTCTATTAAGAGGATAAAAGGAGGACTTGAAAGGAAATCCCAGTATTTATAATATGAAAACCTAATATTTATCTGTTGCATAATCCAACATAAGCTTATTTAACTCAGACCAGTTTTGTTTGTTAGAACTGTATGCAACAACTCAGCATGTTAACTGCATACAGTTCACAATTTCCACTTACTCCTACTACCCTGTGCTCTTATTTTGCATCTGCAGTTGGCTCTTATTTCTTGAAATTCAAGTTACACGCATTAGATAACAAATGGGGAAAAGAGTACGGTTTGTATTTTCTTGGGTGCACATATACACTAGAAACCTCACATAACTATCTTCACATAGTTTAAACTTAAAGGCTTTTTCAAGTACCTTGGAATGACGACAATTTGTCAGCTGCAAAATCTTTTACATTAAGTTCGACAGCTACACTAATGCATTAATAGCAGTAAGATGTAATTAATAGAAACACATGAAACATGCTGTATTTGCACAGCAGATACAATGCACTGGTGCTTCCCTTGCTTACCTACAATCAGCAACAGTTTACCTGAGCAATCTCATTATTCATTCACTTTCTTGTCACATTCCTCCAGGTTTCTAAATCATTGTCATACAAAAGCAGAGACTTTAGGCCTGCTTTCTACATGAAAAATACTAGACCCAGAGGAATTCATAATTTCAAGTAGTAATCTTTTCAAGCTGAGTTTCGATTTACTTTTGAGGCCAAGCATTCAGAGAAGTCAGATTTTACTAGGCTTAGATGCACTGCAGCCAGCATTTCATGGTCAGTCTCTTGGCCTGAAGCCAAGTACCTGCTCCAAGAGTTTACTGGGCTTTTTAACCTCCACAGGGAAAGAGGAAATCTGATGACTTATGAAGCGTGTTAATAGTTAAACAAAGGGTTGACAGTAATCCACATAAATGAATGCTGTAACAATGACTCCACAGCATTCATATCTTTCCTTCCAGGAGTCTTCCAGTAAGGCTACAGAACTTGAACCCTAGCAGTTGTTAGGATGAAGACCGTATTTTGGGAGGAGCCTAAGAAAGAAAATAAAAACCGAAAGAGATGGCAATTGAGATATGTCTGTTGTCTATCCACAGATCAAGATAAGCAGTTGGGAGAGAATAGAAACTATGCTGGCACAAAAATAAAAAGGAGTAAGGTAGCTGTGCTTAAAATCGTCTGGAAGTCTCAGTTCTAAGCGACTGAAACAATCACATTCAAGAACAGCCTTCTAAGGTTCAAAGAGAAGGGATGACAAAGCAGATTCATCTGTATAGTAGACCATGGAATCCAAACAAGTTTTCCTAAGCAACACAAACCTGTCCTTTCTAGGAATAGGTTAAGCAGACATGAATCTTCCTCTCCAGCCTGCTTCTCCCCCAAAAGAAATCCGCAAATTGTAAATCCCCCGCAGTTTAAGAGTATGAAGTCAGATATAAATTATACAACAGGAGTTTAAGTAACACTCTGAAAGCTGACGCTCACTCAGCAAGCAGGCTATAACACCAGGCTTGATTTGTAACCTGCACTGAATGTTCAACTCAGCCAGGATTACAATTATCATAGGAAGACCTAGATTTTATCTCAACATTTGCATACCGTTAAGGGGCACACTTGACTTCTGCTATCACTTACGAATCAAAGAAAGATTGAAGAGCATATACAAATGCTGAGCCTTGTTCAAAGAGGACCAGCAAAAGACTGAAAGAATCCTTTATTGTAGGCACATGAATAGCATCACAGGCCAATGAATCTTCCAGTTTTGTCAGAAGCAACACATAAGGACAGAGAACAAGCTGAAACCTTTTAAAGAGCCTCTAGTTTATTTTCACATCCAGAAAGCAATTAGCAGAGTCAATGGTGAAACGTTCCAGACAAAAGAAACAATGGAAGTGTCCTGTGACCTCTTCTAGCAACAGCCACAAGCAAGTCATACCTGAAGGGACTGCAAATACAATGTAAATGCAGCTGAGGAAGGTTTGCAATAAATTAAGCTTAACTATTTCCCTTTTAGAAATCACAGTACTGTAACAAAACCAGTGTACAGCCTGAGGCAAGTAAAGAACTGTTGAGAATCCCAATTTAAATGTACAAATTCTCAGGTTTCCTCCCGCAAAGCCCACAGAATAGATAAGAAATGAGATTCACTCCACAGATTAACACTTCATCTTAAGTCTCAGTTCAAATGCCTTCAGTTTATAATTAAAAATAAGTATTTTCTACTCTGGCTGGCAAAACTCAAACCACATTTTTTTTAAAAAAGCCCTAGTCTAAATAAAAGGTTAATTAAAAAAAAAAGGAGTAGGCACAGCATATGTTCTGCAGGAAATCATAAAAATGTTTATAATAACCCTTTCAAAATTCATCATTAAACAGTATTTTTATGTGAAGCCACCTAAGCATATTCACATTTCAATAACTATTTTTCCATTTTAGTAGATATTTAAAAATAGCATTCCAGCAATATAAACTTCAGCTGTATTTAAGCTGAGCTATTTGCTCTCTCCCTTTTAACAAAGTTGTTCTGATAAGCAATAATCAAAAGATCAGGTACTGAATATGAGGATTTGTCTACCATTTCATCTGGGGGGGGGGGGGGATGATTTTTTTTTTATTATTCGATCAAAACAGACAAAAAAACCCCAAACCCTGTTATGTCTGCTCAACTTTGAAAAGGGAGAAAATACCAAATCTCAAAAGTTGGTATTCTGATTCTTCCAATGGGAGAAAGTCATCATGATACCATGAATCACATCTGAAGCAACAAAAAAGAATACTTAATAGCCATATAAGACACCAACAAAAAAAATGCAATGAAACAGGTGTCTCTGGGAAAATACCAGTTCCTCTACTACAGATTTAAATTAGCACTTTGTTTTATCAACACATCACTCGTACCAAAATCCTTAAAGTCATCCCTAAGCAATGCACTAGCTCTCAATTTGGCCAGAACACAGCTGGATTGACTGATGTCTGTTTCTACTCACTATAGTGTACTGGGACAGCTGATAGCTATTTCTCCTTAGCCCAATGCTTACTACAGCTGCAATTGCTTCCTTGTGACATTCAACACCCAAAGGAGTCAGTGGTCCTTAAAACATTATCCTGTTGTTCATTTGATGAATTTTAGGGGCTGCCTCCAAAGACCAAATCATATATTCAGGTCTCTCCACATTAATCTGTATTTTCCACTGTTTATTTAACAATTACATTAGGGACAATTATGACTAAAACACAGTAATTGATACATACAAACTCTTCATACATATAAACGTTATTGTAGCATAGTAACCCTTAGAGTCATCTCACATCATTGCTCATTGTACCACATGCTCTTCCTGCACACATACAGACTTCCTACTCCTTTACCTACCTCTACACTACAACCAAAAGCCAAAAGTTTGAAGTAATTTGTATCCCAGGGTAAAGATTCAGAACACTGTATCTTTTCATAAAGTTTTTCCCCTACGAAAAGGCACATCAGCTTCATATGCTACTGACAGAAAAATATGGTGCTCAGGAAATAACTGGTCAAGGACTAAACAGAGTTTGTAAATACTCCCTACTAGGGTTTAAAAAAAAATAAAAATTCCAAGCATAGTAGGAATCATCCATGGAAGGTCCAGTAAGATTTAGGCTCACTCCTTAGCTTTCGAGCTCTACTGCCTGAAGAAAAAAACGTCTCTACTATTACAGAGTTACTTTTCACTCTTGTGATGGGCTAACCCTGGCTGGATGCCAGGTGCCCACCAAAGCTGTTCTATCACTCCCCTCCTCAGCTGGACAGGGGAGAGAAAACATAACAAATGGCTCATGGGTCAAGATAAGGACAGGGAGAGATCACTCACCAATTACCATCACTGGCAAAACAGACTTGACTTGGGGAAAAAAATTAGTTTAATTTATTACCAATCAAAATCAGAATAGAGTAATGAGAAATAAAAACTAAATCTTAAAAAGACTGTCCACCCACCCCTCCCTTCTTCCCAGGCTTCACTTTACTCTTGATTTTCTCTATCTCCTCCCCCACAGCAGCACAGGGGGACGGGGAACGTGGGTTGGGGTCAGTTCATCACACCTTGTCTCTGCCACTCCTTCCTCCTCAGGGGGAGGACTCCTCACCCTTCCCCTGCTCCAGCATCAGGTCCCTCCCAGAGGAGACAGTCCTCCAAAAACTTCTCCAACATGAGTCCTTCCCACTGGCTGCAGTTCTTCATGAACTGCTCCAGCGTGGGTCCCTTCCATGGGCTGCAGTCCTTCAGGCACACACTGCTCCAGTGTGGCTCCCACGCAGGGTCAAAAGTCCTGCCAGCAAACCTGCTCCAGCATGGGCTCCTCTCTCCACAGGGCCACAGGTCCTGCCAGAAGCCTGCCAGGGGTCTCCACCTCCACTGGTCCTCCACGGGCTGCAGGTGGAGATCTGCTCCACTGTGGACCTCCCTGGGCTGCAGGGGGACAGCCTGCCTCACCATGGTCTTCCCCACGGGCTGCAGGGGAATCTCTGCTCCAGCACCTGGAACACCTCCTCCCCCTCCTTCTGCACTAACCTGGGGGTCTGCGGGGCTGTTGCTTTCTCATATTCTCAATCCTCTCTCTGGCTGCAGTTACACAGTTTTTTCCCCCCCTTCTTAAATACATTATCTCAGAGGCGCTACCACCATCGCTGATGGTCTCAGCCTTGGCCAGCGGCGGGGTGGTCTTGGAGCCGACTGACATTGGCTCTGTCAGACATGGGGGAAGCTTCTAGCAGCTTCTCAGTGAAGCCACCCCCGTAGTCCTCCCACTACCAAAACCTTGCCATGCAAACCCAATGCAACTGTACTAAATAAGCTAATGCCATGTGTATCCTTTTTAAAATACAGAGTTCTGTAGGAGTAAGTATCCCTATTTGGAGGAAATACAACACCCAAGGAAT